AAGAAGAACAACAACAACAACAACAACAACAACAACAACAACAACAACAACAACAACAACAACAACAACAACAACAGCAACAACAACAACAGCAACAGCAACAACAACAACAGCAACAACAGCAACAGCAACAACAACAACAGCAACAACAACAACAATGTTGATTAATGAATTTTTTTAAAACCAACAACAACAAGTCTAGATCTAGATTTATACGTAAAGGAAAGTTAAAAGGGCAAGTGGACTTGAACATGCGCATATTATTATACAGAAGAGGCAGTGGTTAACCTTTGACTCGTGACCAGCTTCGTTTCCAAAATATGATCTTAAACAAAGGCACGTAATGTGGCTTGGTTTGACAAGCTGTACGAGGTACCGTGACAAATTCATGTATGTCGGTAAACAACTAATTATCTAGGAACTTTTTCAAGAGCACGAATAAAATCTAGGGAGCATGGTAATTTTGAGGTCGTTGAAAGTTACACTGATGATATTCACAGAGTGGGAAAGAGAGAGGGAGGGGAGAAAATAAGAGAGAGAGAGAAAAAGAAGGAGAGAGAGAGAGAGAGAGAGAGAGAGAGAGAGAGAGAGAGAAATCGTGGAGTGACTGAGAAAGATAATTTAGAACGGGAAGAGGAAAAAGTACTAGAAGATTGAAAAATTAAGTTGCAATGTTCGGTCAACTATCTACCTGAACTTCCCGCCAGGTTCAATGTAATGTGCCAGTTTGTGGTTGGAGAATAGCTGACGGGCTTGAACGACAACACGCAGGTGTTTAGGTTCAAACTTCAGTGCGTGTTCCAAAGGTATTTTTCTCGGCTTTCGTGATATAATATTCCATGTCACCCTATTGTTCTGTTCGGGGACCAAATGCAACGCCTTCGAGATTACCAATGTTGCGTCTGGTAGAGCAATGAAACTCAAGACCTTTAACAACGGCATAGGATGCTGATGTTTCATGTGTACAGGCATGCTGATTAAGTTTAGGACTACGTATATTATTATGTCGTGCAGTGAGACTTTAAGGAAGAAGGGAAAATGGGGTGACGATTCAACAGACTGAAATTGTGATGAAAAAATCGTAAATCATTAAAGAGAGAGAAAGAAAGAAAGACAGACAGAAAAAAATGAAGGGGTCATCGGAAGGAGATATAAAATGAAGAAATAAAAATAATAAATGATTTGTTTTGTACTGTAAAGACGTTAGTAAAAATTGGGTATTAATAGAAAAACAATTCTTGTTTAAGAGGAAGAAGTAAAGGAATCCCAAAATGGAAATGTAAAGATCTCAAATTTGACTCGAAAAAAGTCCCCTGGATTTGGCCTGTCATTTACACGTGTACGTGTTTTTTCGTCTTCTTTGCAGTTTTTTTTCGTTTTCTGTAAAGCCTTACCCCTTCCTGGGCGTTATGACGTCTGTGCACTCAAAACCTGATCCCCTCGTCAGCTTTGTTGACATGACGTTGGTGGTTGGTGTTCGATACTGTTGGGCCGAGATGAAATCCCCAAATGGAGTAGCATTATTTAACTCGGGTTTCTGAGAAGTACTCATTACTCTGAAGTTATGTGGCTCATCAAACCGGAGATTATGTCATATAAATAGCATTATTGTACTGAAAGGCGTTCACTTCACGAAACTCTATAACACCCTTCAAACTTCTAAGCCAAACCAAACCATGCTGTGCTGCACAATACCATGATTATCCATTATTTCCATATCATCAACGCAACACCATTTCAAACTCTTGTGGGGGGTATAAGAGAGAAAATACGAGAGATAAAACAAGAAAAAGAAAAGAAACTAAAGAGGAGAGAGAGAGAGAGAGAGAGAGAGAGAGAGAGAGAGAGAGAGAGAGAGAGAGAGAGAGAAGGGAGGGATAGGTCATGACTTTAAAAGAGTGCTCATTACCCTGTGTTGCTATAATGTGGTTAGTAATTAGTATCAATAGGTAGCAGCACGTCATCTCAAACGCAGATATTTTGTTTTCTTCTTTCTTTGTTAAAAGCCAGGTCTATACGCGCGCCATATCATAGGAAATTCGGCTAACGCTTTGTTTAGGTTTATGGATCAAGATTTTTCCTGCCTTCTCGACTAACTACTAACTGTATATCTCATATTTTCGTTTAGGCCATCATCGAAAGCCCGATGTCCGAGATACATGTGCCTGTAATCTCTTTTTTCATCTCTTAGTTTAGTTTCGTAACTGTAAGCTCCACTATTAATGCATTTGCATGTAGAGTAGCCCTTCCTAATCTGGCCGCTATCACCCACTAGCGGGCGATTTTACAGTTCTGGTGGACGATAGAAATCACCTGGATAGCGACAGGTGTTATTTGATACCCCGTTTGAACAAATGAGTAAGTGGACGGTACGAAGGCAGTAATGCGTCAAAACGGTGGCAAAAGTTGGCGCTGGCTATAAATAACCTGAGACCGACGCAGTAGCCTTACCGGATGTCTGTACTCACTTTAGCAACACTTACAGCCTCTTCCTGTTGGT